AACTATACAGGAATCTGAACTGAAAAAATTTTAGTATGGGTATCTGAATGATACATGATCCTGACACAGTGACTGTTAATCACTTCAGATGTTATCCAAAAACTAGAAGGAAAAAATACTTCCTAGTGTGGCTGGAACCATGAAGCACTGTAGTGTTCATAGAGGTTCCAGTAACAGGAATTTTGAATTTACTTTTCCTTCATGGTGTCGGAAGGCGTAACATAAAATTCTGTATTTATGTTTGAAAGCAGTCTCAGTTTTAAGTTCAAGCCAGCTGTACCCTGAAGCTGAAACATGGCTATATTTTGGCAGCAGGGAAGACTGCCATATGTTGCTGTGATAAAGAAATTACACTGATGCCAATCTCTAAAGTCAGTCTTCTAAAAAATATATAAGGGAGTATATTTGTGGCAATATAAGTTTTTATAGAGAGAGAGAGTAAAAGAGCTTGACAAGCCTTTATTTAAGGTAATTCTTCTGTCTCTTTAACAGTTGCACCCTTTGTAAATGCTGCAAGCCACAATTCACTATTGTTCTTGAGAGAAGTTGTATATAATACATAAATCCATTGCATTTCCCTGTTGCACAGAATTGCTTGTTCTCTAGCTCCCAGCTTTCAATAGCCACAGGACAATTCCGTTCTTTAAATAAGTTCTTACGTATTGACTGGCTTTTAGTGAGCACATACTGAAAATAGATAAGAAGATCTTTTTTTTTAGGAGTCATTCAGTCAGGCCTCTAAATGAGAGCATGGTTCTGGAGACCCTGGACTTGGCTGGCAGCAACATGATGTACTGTTTCCTTTTTTAAGGTCAATATAGCCTGTTGGTCTGTAGCTCTCATGGGTGAGTTCCAGTGCTTTTAAAATTGGCAATTAGCTTGGTTAAATGCCAGCAGTATGTCAAGGATCTTTGAACACAACTATTTGTATTCTTGATATGCATATAATAAAGTGCATTGTAGGATCTGTTCTTACAATGAGGTGGTTCCAAACCACATCTACTGCAATTTAATGCAGAACAAGATTTCCAATACAAAATATGGATCTCAATCACAAACTTTCTGTTTCCTATTATAAACACTGAAGCTGCTGTTTCTCATCACTGAAGAAGGACTTCTACTGATCCATAAAGCTGACTCTTGAGCAGTTTCAAATTCTCTCCATTCACCAGTATCCTGAGATACGTTTGTTAGATTGCCAAGAAGTTACTGAGAACAGACTATGGATTCCACCAGCATCTTCTTTTATGTCCATAAAACATATGGACATAAAACACCATTTATGTCCCTGAGTTCTTGAAAGAACTTATCCAGAGATGCAATAAATTTGTTTTGAAGCAGGAGTTTTACTATTATCTAGGTCAATAGTTTCCAGGTACACATTTTCTTGCTCAGCAGTGATGGCAGTCTTCAAACTTCCATTTTTTCACAGTATACAAGCTAAGTTCTTCTGTATCTCCTGTGCCAACAGGTTCAGTTGGCTTTGCACTGAGGACACCAATTCATTGCATTCTTTGTATATACACACTTTGCCATTTCCACTTCTTCTGTTAAATCCTCATGGTATTTTGCAGCTGAGAAAAAACACTGGCTGTTTCTTTCTGTAATTTTTTCAGAGTGAGTTAGAGATCTCCTAAGAACGTATTAATTGCTTTTTATGGTCCTTCATCTTATCAGCCACAGCGGAAAATTTCCTTGTGTTATTCTGAAATGAACACTTTAGTTCCAGGAAAATTCCTACCATTGATGTCAAGATATTTAATGCTCCTCCTAAGCCATATATATGCTCCCCAGTCAACCTGAACAGCTCAGCTTTACTAGCAAATGGCACAGTCATATTTTGTAATATGTTTGCATGCAGTTAAGAAAGTTCAGTGATCAGCAATTTTTTAACAGAGGTAAAAGACCCTGGTACAACTAATGCAAATACATTATCTGCTGAACAATGGGTAGATATGAGGCCATCTATAAAATATGCATAAGTTGTCAACAACTGTTGCTGCTTCAGACAGTTCTCACTAACTGAATCGTGTATTTTATTGACCAGAATATTAATTTCTCCTGCAAATGTATTTGGATGATCGCATTGTGTCAATCACCAGTTTTCTTATGATACAGTTTTACATGGTACATCATTTGTATTAGCAGACCAAATGGCTAGCTGCACCATGAAGTTTTTCTTTGGTGTATTCAAAACTGAAACCACATATTTTTTTCTCAACCAGAGGAATCTTGGTTTCTTGCAGATTTGTCCGTGATTTTTTTCAGTCATTTCTCCTTGATTTGCAGATCTGTTTTCATCTTTTCATTACATTTATTAACTCTGAATGGTTTAGTGATTGTTTTCACTTCTTTTTCCATGGTGCTCATTATGTCAATATATTCTGCAACTTGTTCTTCCCAAAATGTCAGCTTTCCTTTAAGGGCTTCATGAATTTTCAATGAAAATATAGGTTCCATTTTACTCTTGTGCAGCAGTGAGGTCTCCTTTTAACTGCTCAGTCTCTTCAGTATCTTCCTTAATAATAGCCCCTTTGGCAGCTGCTGGTTAACTTCAGGTTTCATTGTGTTCTTTGCTCTGTAAGCATACTCCACTGTGCTCAATTTTTCCTCAGGATTTATAGATGTGGGACAAACTGTGGCTGTTATTGATGTTCTTTGTTGTTCTCCAAGAGAGTCTTGAAGGATTCTATTAAGATTCTCCATGTCTTCTTCCACAGGAGGAGTAATAACTCTTTCATGGGTCAGAACAGATTCCTTGGTGTTTCCAGCTTCACAAGCTCTTTTATCAGCTGCCCCAAACTGTAGTGTTTTTACTTCTTGCAAGTTTATATTCCCAATTCTAACAAGCTCTTGGTCATCTGCTCAGGTTACTTTCATATGGATGGTAATGGAAAACAGTAGGATCAACTGGAATATGATTCATGTTCTGAATCATATTCTAAAAAAGAACTGCAGCAGTTCTTTTTGCTGCATCTTTTTCCAAGATTTGGTAGGCTTAATTTTTGTTGTGTACAGCTATTTCTTCTAAGCCTTTCCCATTTACACTTTATGGGTCTTGTTTATGGGATCATCAAAACATCTGCAGTGCTGGGAATAGGATTCAGAAGTTCAAAAAGCTCTTCATTATATATTTTCAGAAGAGAAAATTATACAAAGAAGAATAAAAATCAGTTTCAATCTGTGACTTTTTCTAATATTCAATACAATGTATTGCAAGACTCTTTTCAGTGGTGCCCAGTGACAGAATGAGGAGCAGTAGCCATAAATTAAAACACAAGAAGTTCCACGTCAACATGAGGAAGAACTTCTTTACATTGAGGGTGGCAGAGCACTCGAATAGGCTGCCTGGAGAGGTCATGGAGTCTCCCTCTCTGGAGACATTCAAAACCCAGTCAAACATGTTCCTGTGTAACCTGCTCTAGGTGACTCTGCCTTGGCAGGGGGAGAGGACTGGATGACCTCCAGAGGTCCCTTCTAACCTTAACAATTCTGTGATTCTTTGATTCTGTGTACCTGGAAGAAAATCTACTTCCCAAGCATGTTCTTCATTGGGGCTTCCCTGAAATTGTGAAGGTCTTTCCAATACCAGTTTGGCCATAAATGATCACTGTACAGTTGTACCTATAATAACTTCATTATCCAGAATATGACTACACTCCTGTACATATCAGTTGTCCATGGCTCCTCCATACTCTATAATTTGTTTTCTTGCTTGAAAGTCTACAGTCTACAAAATAGGCACTTGCTCTAAATCCTAAGGCATTAAAAGGCCTGCACCATACCACCACCTGGATGTTCTTGCCCTTTGCATTCTTCATCTACCTACTTGCCTGAAGTGCAAGTAAGACATGCTGGGTCTCGGGGCCAATCTGCCAGGGAAAGAGGCAAAGCACTGACTGCCCCATAATGCTTTTTCAGCCACTCGAGCTCCAGCCAACTACCCTCTGCTCACCTCAGCCACCAGCACTGTGCATCCTGCAGTTCTGCACTCAAGCTCCTGCCAAGCTCCTAGTTACAGTGGCTCAGAAGTGTCTTAGAGAGACTCTATTCACTGCTTGTCATGTCCACACACTGTGCAGTGCAGCAAGGTGTGGATATGTTTAAGCTAACACTGATCAAAATAGCCATGGAATGAAAGGTACTGTAGCCACAACAATTTTGTGTTGCATGTGAGTTAAATGGCCCTGGTACGAAGCATTGGCCTTGTCTTTCTGACTCTGTTTTGGAACAGAAATGGGCCTCTCCCTGGTATTACACTGCATCAGAACCAGCCTGCTTGACACTTGACTTAGGGAAGGTTTGCATTACTACCCAAACCACTCCATATACTACATCTGGCACCCACACTCTCTGAACCAATTTTCCAGTTGTCTGCTCTACAGATGAGGAGTTGCACTATTTCTAGATGCCTTTCATGGACACCTTAGAGCAGGGCAGCTCATGTCAGGAGGCTTAACTGAAGGCCCACACACTGAAAAATGTCTTAAGGAATTGTCATATGAGACAATATGAGGCTTGAACTCCTCTGATGTAAAATTTAACATGGAGCTATGTTGAAGATGAAAGCAGAGATTTTTGGAATCTATTGTTTTCTAGATTAACTGCACAGATCAGAAGACAGGAACTGACTCCTAAGAAAATCTAGTAGCGAGAGGCAGACTCTGCTCGAAACTAAAACTGCTCCGTTCAATTCTCAAAATGATATTTTCTGCCATATATTACAGCACTGTCCAGGTGCTCTGCCTTCAAACTTGGTTCTTTTTAAGGGCTCAACCAGGCCTTCTCCCTCCAGCCCTTCCGCAGGGCCGCGAACCCGGCGCTGGGAAGCTCGGCAGCCCTCTCCTCCCGCGGGCACGGCGGGCTGCAGTGGCGGACCCCCAACACCTCGGGAGCGACCGACAGCCGACAGTGTGATTCCCGCGGCCCAACCCGCCTCCTCCTCCTCCTCCTCCGGCAGGTGCGGCCCTCCAGGGCCGCCGCTGCGCACTGGGCGGGGCGGGTAAGCTCCTCCTGCTCGGGCACCGGAGCGGCACAGCCGGGACGGCAGGTCTACGGCGCGGGAGCTGGTTCCTCCAGGCTCGTCCCGGCGCTGCCGTCGGAGCGGAGCGGGGTGGAGAGGCGGCGCCGCCACTGCCGTGCGCGGCCCCAGCACCTGCCGCGAGGTGAGCGAGCGGCCGGGCCCGAGGCGGCGCTTTGCCGCCCGTGTTACCTAACCAGGACCGGGGCGAGGGCGGGGGGCGGCCGCCGGTCGCGCCCCGCCGACCTGGTCGCTCAGCACCGCTGCCGTGGGGAAGGGGGGCTGTGATGGGGAAGGGAGGGGGCGAGTGTCCCCGTTGCCAGGGAGACGGGTCAAGCGGCAGCTCCGGCCGCCGGGGCGCCCCCGGGTACCGGCCGCGCTGCCGCCGGCCCTCGGCTCCGCGTGGGAAGCGGCGGGGAGCGCGGGGGGAGGGAGGATGACCCGGAGCCCGGAGGTGGCTCCGGGGCGCTGTGAGTCCCTCTTCCCGCGGGGTTATGCGGGGACGTGCTCCGGGCGCTCCGGTTGTGGCGGCTCCATGAAACATGGCTCTGCCGCCTCGAGACGGGCGCTGGAACGCGTCTCGTTACTTGGTGCGAGCTGCGCTCTTCGTGTATCCGGACTTAAAGCTACTCGCTCGAGCGACAGAAACAAGCCTTTGCTCCTTTCGGGTGCTTACATGTGCGAGAGCTCCCAGCTGGGAATGATCTAGTCCCCTTGATAGCTGGAACGTTAGATCTGCAGCTCTCGGAATTTAAGGGTGCTGCTCAGGTGGTTGTAGCACAGGGTGGAGAAAGATTTGGTTCTCGGCACGAAATTCCCTGTTTGGTCAATATGGAGCATTTCTACCGAAAAGTCTCGGGTCCTTGCGATGCTGCAGGTTGCAAAGGGCTCGTTGCTGCCAGTTTCCCAGGCCATCGGTGGAGGGTGGATTCAGCCCGTGGAGCGAGCCCGGCTCGCCTGTGCGGGCTCCGGCGGAGTCGGACTGACAGCTGATCCATAACTGTAACACCAAACAGTGGGAAGCAGTGTGCTTGGCATCAGGCACTGCAATGAAATGTGAAAGAAATGGAGTTACAGTTTAGGTCTTTGTACGGTGAGATAAACTGCAGACGTTGATCTCAGCAAAATAGCGTGACTACATTTTTTAAAGCTTTTTATAAATTTTTCCAGTTTTGTATGGCTAGGAGAATATCTTACAAATGTTTCAGAAGCAAGTTGAGGTAAGTCTTATTTGCGTAAATGTTCATGGCAGCATTTGTTCAGTCGTGAAAAGATCAGGAGCAGACCCAGAGGCCAGAATCCTGTTAACTGTAGCGCATAGGGTGAAGCATTACTGTAGCCTTGCCAATTCCTGTTGATTCCAGGATCTGCCTGCATGAAGGAGTTGGCAGGGGTAAGACCACTGAGGCGCATTCAATAGTTTAGAGTTTTTGTCCAATAAGTGTTTTCTGTTTAAGCAGATCCTACAGAAATCCAGTGATGTGCTGAATAAGTACAGATGCATAAAAATCCACCAATATACAGCTACTCAGTCACATCTCTTTGTGTTGTTCAAGTATACAGATGATCAAAGAAAAATTTTTACTGAATTTTGAAAGTATTCCCGAAAAACTCCTTTAATCTTTTGTCTGCTGTTCAGATTGTGAATAATTTGACAGCATCTGTAAAGCACTTTACAGTTATTATGTATGAAGTACTAAGCTACGTATGGGTATTCTGAGAAACTGTTAGAGGATAATAAGCTCTCACTTTAGTAGGACACTAAAAATAATGCAGTCATACCAATTAATGCCTCTTAAGCATAAGATTTTTTTTTTAGATGCCTACAGTGTTTATAAATATATTGTGTTTTATTTAACAAGAGTCCTTGTCACTTCCTGTATAAGCACGCATGAAGAAATGTACATTTGGGCAGCTAATGAGTTGGCAGATGGGGGAAAATTGTACTCCTAATATTTCAAGGGGGTAAGAAGTTGCCTCAGGATTTCTTCAGAAATGGTCCAGTTTGATTGGCAGGTGTACCTTGCATTCAATTCCAAGCGAGAGCAAGTGCTTTTAAGGAAGGGAATTTTAATATGGAAACTGAGATTTCACACTTTGTAGCTCAGCGTGTTGTACAAACCACATAGAATATGAGATTAAGGGCTGTCTTTACTGTTAGAAAACAATGTAATATTCTAAAACTAAATATGACTATGCAGAAATTAAATTTCTGGATATATTTTTATGAAAGCAAGTTTGAAAGTGACTGAACTTCAAATTGGCCCTGAATAAATAGCGTAGAATATTGCCTCGGACAGGAAACTTGAGATTCCCTGGGATTTTCTAGTGGAATTTTAGTCTTTCTTCCATTCTTCTTCTCTGTACGAAGGACATGAACAACTGTGATTGAGATGGAAACACCTGTTTAAAAGTCTGTGCGTTGCTAAACGTGCAAGTGAATTTGACTCAGCGTTTGTGCTTGAACATAAAAAGAAATTTGAGTAACATCAAGGAAAGTGGTTTATTTTTTTCCTCTCTTTTTATTCATAGGAGCAGTACATTTTGAGTTTACAGTAAGGGGAAGTATGGTTGGAAGATCAGTAGCAGATGGACATTTATGCTTGTATGGGTCATTTCTTCAGTGGGTACTTACATAGTAAAGTAAGCGTGATTTGACCAGAGAAAATGCTGTGTTCATTTAAAAAAAAAATGACTTTTTTGTTATCTCTATTTTTGATAGGTGTTGCTTCTACCTGAAAAGTCAGAAATTGATATGACGTAGGTTCTGACACTGATGATCAGCTTCTACAATGTAGCAAAAAGGAATGTATTCAATAAGAAATTCATGGCACTACTGTGGTGTTTTTGATCATCTCTGCTGACTGGAATATGATTAACTTAATGGCCAAGAATGACAGTAATTTAGTGCCACTCTAGTATGGGGAAGTGATGATTATAAATTGAACGAGAAATGGGAATTGGATTAAATGAAAAATGAAATTAATTTAATCACTTGGGTGAGAACAGTTGACAGAGTTATCAGGAAAAACTGGCCAAACAAAAATATTATCCACTGTAATTACGCTTTCCTACTGTAACCGCATAGTTGTCTCATTTTAATTCTTTTATTGTAAAGAAATTATCCTTCATATTTCTCATCCATCTAAGATTTTCATATGGTACTTGCCAGTGTATTCTGTGCTCTGAGGACATCAATTACTCAAGAATTGATTGCAGGGAGCATAGGGGAATCTCGTGTTCAAATTTTTGTATCTTTCTTCTTTGGAGATAGAGGAGAAGTGCCAAAAGGCTGAAAATTACAGAGATTTTCCTGAGCAATTAGTAAATTTTTAAAAACCTGATTTTTAATTTTTAACTGTTCCCCACGAAAAATTACTAAGTGGTAGTGGTGGTATATCCCCTCAATTTCTTGAATTATCTGACATTTATACTTGATAGTGAAAGACATAGGATCCTTGACATAATGATTTCTAAATCTTCACTTCTTTCTGTTCTGACTTAATTGGCCTTTTGACCACTTACGAGATAAAATGAGGTCTGCTCTTCTGTTATTCTGTATGCATAGTGTATTGCAGCAGTGTGTGCTTGTAAATAGGATGCTTTTATTTCCAAGAGATTTCTGAAATTTTACTGTCAAATTCTGATTACTAAAAATAAGTAATAAGTTGAAATTTTTCACAGGATCTTGTACACAATTTTTTTAATAAATTTTTGTTAAAACATTTTGGCTCATGTGTGGGTTTTACCCCTGACTGAGTTTTTGGCTTTGAACAGTTAGAACCTTCCATTTTAGAAGAAACACACTTAGGAGAGCATTTTTTGAGGGGCATTCCTGCTAAGTCTGAAGAAATGCCAGGGACAAGAGGCAACTCTAGGAGGTAGTTTCAAAAGAAGAAAATGAAGCAGTGATGTTGGCGTTTGGCAGCTTAAACTGGGATACCAGGAGATCTTTGAAACTCCTGGTTCTGGCTGCTCTGATGTGGACCAACCATCCTGAATCTGCCTGATTTTTATAGAAAGGGAAATGTCTAATGTACGCCAGAAGGAGCTGTAGCAGGTTCTGGCAGGTGTTAGTCTGGGTTCTAGGCCACAGTCTTTTGCCGTTTCCATCATTCATGGGCTCTTGATCTTTGGGCTATTGACTACTGAGTAACCTGGCTGAGTGGGATTGCAAAAATGTTTTGTCAAGATTTTTTCAAACTTGTGTTTTAGTTGCACTTTTAACTGTGGAAAAACTTGGAAATAGCTTAGATTTGACTCTGAAGTCCATTACCAGACTTGCTGTGGACCTGCAATGTTTGACTTCTTTTCTAGGGAAGAAGTTTTGCACAGACAAGGTACCTGAACTAGAATATGTTTTGTGGTTCATGCTGTCGGTGGCAGCTAAGTCACTCAATGGGCAGATACCTTGTGGGAACTGGGGTAGTAGTAGGGGGTCTATACACCTACATACATTTCTAAGCCTTTGAAATATGTTTCTTTGTCTTGAGAAATGAAAGATGTAATTTCAAAAAGTGAAATTCCAGTAGTGAATGCCATGCAAATTCCAGTCACACTGTTTGAAGCTACTGAATTTGATATCAGCAGTTGGAGAGTCCTCTGTGATGAGAAAGCAATAAAATATTTAAACAGTTATGAGTAAAATAAATCAGAGTCTTCAGAATGTCAATAATACGTGGGAATGCATGATTTTCCCCTAAGTTAGGTGACTACTCTGAACAGTTATGTAAATTGAGAATATTTTCTGCCAAAATTTCTGTAGCAATATGCTGCAGCAGTTTAGAAGAGCTGTAATTATAGGGAATGAGCTTTTTAGGGGGATAAATATTGTAAATATTTTGATTCATCAGTACTTGAAGGTTATAGTTGTTCTGAAGACTGGCTTTTGCTGCAACCATCTGTCTTTATTTTTCCTGACAGGAATGATATGTATAGTGGTGGGTTTTGACTGTATAGATGTTGTAATGCTACAGCCTAATTTATTGTTGGTTCTTCCTGAATGCTATGACTACATAGAATGCATCTTAAGATAATGTATTTTTCCCCTGATAGCCTGAACCTTAACATCTTCAAATTTTCCAACCCCTTATGCCTCCAGAATAGCCTTTCATTCTACCCTTCAGTAAGAAACTGCTTGAAAAA